TCTCTTCTCGAAGTCATTCCATAAATCTGATTAATGGGTCACCTTTAGACCACAAGCACAGTTGCTGTATTAAAAGAAAATGCTCTAACAGGATGGTAATTCTGTTAACAAGGCTTCTGCTGTTCGCAAAAAGACATTTTTCTCGCAATGTAAACAAGTTGAGGCCGAATGATGCATGGGATTAAGTCATGAGCAAAATTCTTAAGGCTGTAGTACTCAATTGCACAAAAATGAAAAACAAGGAAGACCGGTTTCTCAAATATGTAAATTTGAGGTGAAATGGGTAAAATGCATAGAGCCAGTGAATGAGATAGCAGCTTTTGTGTTGCTTCTCAGAACACAAACATCTTCTCAGATCTTGTACCTGACATCCGTCATGTGTCGCTGATATTTGTTGAGAGGATGTGCCCTTTAGCACCATCAGTTAAGATAATAGCAGCAGCTCTCTAGCTTCCTTAGCTTCCTATGCTGGGCTCTTTTATGGAATCAATCCATCTCAGAGTTGGAAGCACTGTAGGGGCATATAGTATAAAATGTCCCCAGCGTGTATATTCCTGTTAATATATGAAAAGCAATTTACAAAGAGTCAAAGCTCAAAAATATTTCAAAATGATAGTGTTGAAGACATGGAGGTGACCTCTCCAATGTCTGTTCCCCCTTCTTTTGGAAATTATCCCCTTTTTCCATTGGGTTTTACATCTTCCCGGAATGGCCCCTCTGCCTTCAGGGGAGCTGACTTCCTGCTGGTCTCTGTGATTGGGGATTGTAGCTGGGCCATAATCTAATTAGCATAATCCCATCTCCTGCTCCTAGGGATTGGTTCAGGAAGGGCCATGTGACCAACTGGGAGCCACTGAGATGTGAGGATCTAAGGAGTAAGCTTTCCTAACCTTCCACAAGGACTACCAGAAATATCTTTCTTTTCTCCTTTGTGAATTAGCACATGGTAGATGTGAGGGCTGGAGCTGCTGCAGCTACCTCATTGCCATGAGGCAAATGTGCCTAAGAGTTAAGATGACAGAGGGGAGTTGAATTTAAAAGAATGGTGGACGGCTGGATCCAGAATATTGATTGAACCATGCTGATCACCTGCTTACTTTAGGACATGTGGAGTGACTTAAGTCCCTTTGTTATTTAAACCTGTTTGAGTGGAAGTTTCTACTACCTGCAGCAGAGACCATCTCAATTAGCACCACTGTGTTAAGCAAACTGCATAGGCTACTTAGTTAGGGCTTCCCTAGAACCCTTAATGTATTAATGTGCACATTTACATGGCTGTGGTTCTATTCTTTTGTAGTGCATCTCACAGTGCAAGATCTAGTCTGACGCCCAAGTTTTACAAAAGTGGAAACTGAGATCCAGAGATTTATGTGCCTTTCCTAAGTTATTAATAGGTAGTTGTATATCTGGAACTAGAGCCTCTGGCTTCCAGGCTTGCACCCTCACTTCTGGGTTACACTCTCTGTCTGCCCAGATAAGTTCTCATATTGAAGGCAAACTTCAAAGTAACTTTCTTTTGCAGAGATGTCAGATTATAAAGTAAAGTTTGCAAATTAGGGAGCTCATAAGCAAAATAGAACTTATGGTCAAATAAAATAAGCCTGAAGTGTTTGAAACAATTTTATCAGTTGCCAACTGATATAAAATCAATTAAAAATCAGGTTATTTCAAATAAAAATATTAATTTCTAGCTGCCCTAATAAAATTCAGATAATCTGGTGACACCAGGCCTGTATTTCCCCATGGTAACAACTAGCAGATACTGAGTGACCAGCTGTGCCTCTTTGATGAATGCATGGCCTCCCCAGTTTGCCACAGGCCCCACCATTCTCTATTACATCCTAATAGGGATGCCAAATGTCATTTGTCACTTGTAAGTACATGAGTAATATTGCTTTAAAAAAATTCAGTTCTTTTTATTTATTTACCGATCTGGTCCCTGTAGTTACTTTTCTACATTTGAAAAAGTAAAATTTTCCAAACTTCGGTACTGCAAAAACATTTCAAGTCCCAGTAATTTGGGAGCAACACTGAGTTAGTCCAAGGTGAATAGATTTTGTTACTGCATATTTTTCCTTAGTCCTTTATGAGCCATGAGTCTGGAGGTCTGGCACACACCTTTTGGCCTTGGGCATCTTTATCCAGAGATCATTTGTTTATCACTGTTTACCAAATACACTTTGGGAAATCCCCTTATGAAAATTCATTACCTCCCTTCCTTCCAGAGAGCTGGTAGAAGGGTTTCTCTTTGTTGAGATTGTTATCACCTTGGTTTGCTTATGTTTCTTGGAGGCTACTCTGGGAACGGAACAATAGCCTGGCTTGGCTCCCAGCGCAGGTGAGTCTGTGGTCTGATACACACTGAGATTATTCCCAAGCATAGGCTCATTATCTAAGATGTTCTGGCAGAGCGGGGAGAAAAAGGACGTGGCTCATTTCAGCCCACATGTGAATTCCTCCCCAAGGAACCAACTTCCTGCTCCTCACTTTCTTTCTATCTTTTATGGAAAAAACAACAAAGGGGAAAGGTGGAAAACAGAAAGGGATGGTGCCAAAAGACAACAACGCTTTCCTAAAAGGCTCTTCTTCACAGGAAGTGATCATACCCCAGCAGTCATTTCTTCCTCTCTTTATAATGTTCTTACTTAAAGGTGAAGGATGGCTAAATCTCAATTCCAATGCTCGACGTGCTCTAATTCCAGACAATTAGATCTAGCTTAAAAAAATCATTCAGACTAATTTTTCTAGATGTGCAATTGTGGCCTTCAAGAAAAGAGGCCAGAAGCTCATTTGCTGCTTGAGAGACAAACATGGTGTCTCTTGCAGGGGTTCTTTAGAGACAGCTAAATGCTCATATTAGATATTCCTTGGAGGCTTCCTCCGGCTACAGCTTTCCAAGAGGAGTTCGGCTCATAAACCCTTTCAGCTGCCAGCTCCAACTTAGTTACCTTTCATTCCCCCTGGGAAGACAAATCTTCCTTAGAAGTCAGCAGTCCCCCAAAGCAAATCCCTTTCATTCTAATAAGGATCAGAGCCACTGGTCCAGTTTGATCATTTACTCAACTGAACCTTTGTAGAACTAAAAAAGGTGACAAGACAGGTGGTATGCATGCTTTGTTTTGGTTGGGACAACATCAGGGGGAACCCTCAAGGACAGATTTAATGATGAAGAAATTCTAAAAGGAAAGCAATTGCAGATTACATTTGCGGAGCATTTATTATATGTCAGGTGTAGTGCCAGACATTTTCTAAGAATTACCTTGTGCAATTTCATGCCCATCTCAGGACAAAACGAGACGAGACATTCAGAATGCTCTCCTGAGGTCCCGCAGTTAGGGAGAGCTGGAAACCACGTGCAACCCCGGCACCGCGCCTCCCTCCCAGTTCTAACAAACACTCCACTACTCCCCTTAACTGCAGAGATGCCGTTTCTCCCCCAGCATTCCCAGACATGCTCAAACGTGCCTAGCTACACTGGGCTAAGAAGGGATGAGAAGTGAAGTAAAATTCTTAAATGCTGGACAAATGTGAACTAGCAAAGAATGACATAATAAAGATCTTCCAAGTTTAACAGCCTGACTCAATCCTTTTTTCTTTTTGTTTTGAATTTTGACAATAATCCTCACTGTAAAGAATCGAACAGCTTCCCTGAGAGAAATAAAGACACCTCCCCACTCCGTTCCTTCTGTGAACAGCGGCTGCCGTGGTAGCAGCCACAGGCAGAGCGGAGGTGGCCAGCGAGGCTGCCCTGGAAGGTCCGCCTTACCTGCTGTAGGAGAGGCACTCCTGGTGATTGATGACTTGATCGGATTTGTACCTCCGGAGGTCTTCCCACGCATCCTTGATGGCAGTGACTGCCAGGATGACACAGATCGGTATCATGCTCACCACAGGCTGGAAAGCATTGACCACAGGCACAAAATTCAGAACCACGATGCCCACGAAGTAGAGGTTGGCAAAGCGGTGGAGCTGCTCAAAGAGGTTCTTAGGGACGAAGGACAGCACGGTGTACTTGCTGGTCTTGATTTGATTCCCGCAATGATGTCTGTTGGGGTTCTCTTTCGGGGGGCATCCTTCAAAGGGCAGGTTGGAGACCACCACTCGTTTCCTGTCTTCTTTCTTTTTCCTGCGTCTCCTCCCTTCCTTCCTCATCTCGGCTCAATCCTGTCTCTTCAATTCTCATAATGTAATCCTCATCTTGTCCTCACGTTCTCTGCTGAAAATATTTCTCTCTTCTTTCAGAAAGAAACTCAAAATGAAAAGCCAGCACACAAACACCAGGGGAAAAATAAGACAAGGAAGGAGCTTACAGAGAGTAGACGTGTATCCACGGGCCACTTCCTTCTACGTGTTTGAGACTCCACCTGTTGGAATGCCGACGTCACCCACAGGTATCTTCCTTTCCCACCCCTGCAGCTAAGAACAGGTGTACCGACTCTGGGTCCTAAAGCCTACCTGGTTAAGTTTGAAAGCAAGGATTATTTTTACCCAAGAAACTCAGATGCTTTAAAAATGGCATACTTTTTGGGGGAGTGGGGGAAGATAAACTGCTTGACACCTTTCAAAGAGTTTCTCCTGAACTTAGTCTCCTAAGAGGATCTAGACAACCTAGAGTTTAATTTTTGAGCTTTTCAACCCCCCCTTAATCATGTAACATTCTTGTGCTTGATAATATGAGTGTTTACACAAATTAAAACAAGGTTTCTCAACCTCAGCATATTGACATGTTCAACTGGATAGGAATTCTTTACTGGAGAGGCTCTGTTGTGCATTGTAGGATACCTAACAGTACCCAGCTTCTACCCACTAGATGCCAGTGGCATTCTTCCTCCCAGCATGACAACCCAAATCCTCAGATGTTACCAAATGCCCACTCGGATCAAAATTGCCCCAGTTGAGAATCGCTGACTTCAATGAATTTAAGGAAATATAAGAAAGACCAATCCTTTAACCATGCTGGTTAGTTTGCATATGAGAACATGGAGGAGTGATTCCTTTACCTTTCATATATTCGAATGTTGGAGCAGTTTATCGCTTTATCAAAGCGATGTCTCTTTAAGTCCTCTAGGCCGTCTTTGACCATGATGATGAACAGGACAATGGCCAGTGGTAACATGGTGATTTCCCTGTGGAAGACTTCCATGGATGGTATCCAGTTCAGAATCACCAGCAACAGGAAATAGAGGTTAGCCCACCTGGAAGGGGCAAGTATGGTGTGTAAAATCCATGGAGAAGAAAAATACATTGTTTCTATCCTGCTGTTGGCTCTTATCAGGTAAAAGGACATTCTTCTTTCCATGTCACCTCAAGCATTACGGAAAGTACTTCAAAGCCAAACTGATCTGTATTTAAACTCTGTTCCTTTTGTTTATTAGTTGTTTGAACTTGCTAAACGTATTTCCTATTGTGTAAAATGGGGATTATACTGCCTACTACTTTAAAAGCTCTTGTAAATATTACACAGTATAATATTTGCTAGGTGCGTAATAGAGGGTTCTGAAGCCTATTAGTTGCTCAATAAAGAGTAGCTTGTAAAAATAATTATATTATGTAGGATAATATATAAGCACATATTTTGACTTTTAATTAAAAATGATCTCATAGATGATCACCAAAGAGGGGTTTATGTTTTTAATTATATTATTATTATTTTTTTTGAGACAGAGTCTCACTATGTTGCCCTAGGTAGAGTGCCGTGCTATCACAGCTCACAGCAACCTCAAGCTCTTGGTCTTAAGTGATTCTCTTGCCTCAGCCTCCCTCTCTCTTGCTTCAGCTGGGACTACGGGTGCCTGCCACAACGACTGGCTATTTTTTGGTTGGAGTTGTCATTATTGTTTGGCAGGCCCACGCTGGATTTGAACCTGCCAGCTCCAGTGTATGTGGCTGGTGCCCTAGCCACTGAGCTTCAGGCGCCGAGCCATATGTTTTTAATTTTTTAACCTGCATTTGTTTTCTCTTGCCATACTGCCTTTGCTCTCCCGGGTCTATCTGCAGAAACATTTTCTGGCTCCTTTCTCTGACTTCTCTCTGGCCCTTTTCACCTCAGTTAAGGTGTGCTTTTCTCTCAAAAGAGACAGATTTCTCTATTATTCCTTAACACCTTACAGCTCTCTTTGGAAGTATCTAGTTATAGCTTTATGTCCATTAATATCACAAAAAATGAATGTCCATCCCTTTCACTAGATAACGCACTCAATAAGGACAGCATCTCTGTCCCTCTCTCTTTTCCTCATGTATTCCTAGCACCCAACACATGCCTGAGACAGAGCAGAACCCAACAAATACCGTATTTTTGGAAGAAATGAATGAATAAATGACAAAAACTTCTTACAGTACATGTACTTGGATAGTAAAGGAAAAAATGGCTCCCAGTTCACTTAAATGGCAAATATTCGATTAAAATGTGTGGTGTTTGAACAGGTGAGTTTGTACCTGTGAAACTGCTCAAAGAGATTCTGGGGCAGGAAGGTGAAGAGGGTATATTTGGTTGTGTGGATTCTGTTGCCGGGGTAGCTCCTGGAGACCTTTTCCCAGTCCTGGTGGAAGGTGCTGTTGTTGGGGAACACGACCCGTTGCCGTCTGAGGTTGTAGCTCCGCCTCGCCTTCTCTGCAGAGAGCAGCGGTGTAGCTTCTGATGCAGACTGGGCAGACCCTTCCCTGACCCGCCACTGCCATCGGAGCCAAGAGGAGTCCACCGAGAGGGCCATTCCTGGCAGCAGGCTAACGTCTGAAAACAGACACACAAAGTTGCAATGGTGAGCAGAAATTTGTGGCGTGCCAATCAGCCTGTCCACTAGCTCGCCATCCATGCATGGTAGACACTGCGATATGGTATGGGGAAAGTAGGCTGAATCCTTACAATCCACGTGTTGTATGGTGAGAAATGTCTATCAAATAATCAATCTGTAGTCTCCTGCTACTCTGTCCAGTGGACTGTTAAGAACAGGGCTGCACAAGAGGAGGTGAACAGGGAGTGAGCAAGTGAGGCTTCATCTGTGTTTACAGTTGCTCCCCATTCCTCACATCCCCCCCGAGCTCTGCCTCCTGTCAGATCAGTGGTGGCATTAGATTCTTATAGGAGGGTAAACTCTACTGTGAACCGTGCACGCCAGGGTTCTAGGTTGAGCATTCCTTATGAGAATCTCGTGCCCACTACCGCAGTGACCCCTGTCCATGGAAGAATTTTCCATGAGACTGGTCTCTAGTTCCAAAAAGATTAGGGCCCACTGATGTAAAAATCTATACAATTAACACTGTGGTAAGTACTATGAAAGCATTGAAGTGGGGTGGGAGGTGTTGGCGGCCTAGGTGCGGCTGTCAGAGGATCACTAAATTATGGCCTGCCTAGTTGACTGTGACCCTGGAAATCAAAATTCTACTTCTGGCCCATTCCTAATGCTGAATTGTCTTTTCACCTTGCCGATCTTCAGGGTTTGGTTTTTTTTTTTTTCATAAGACTTTTGTGATGAACAATTTGGAAAGTACATAAAAATATGTTAGGACATTACTTTTTTCTTTTCTTTTTTCTTTTTTTGCAGTTTTTGGCCAGGGCTGGGTTTGAACCTACCACCTCTGGCATATGGGGTTGGCGCTCTACTCCTTTGAGCCACAGGCACTGCCCTGTGAGGACATTTCTTAAAACAAAGGGGAAGGTATCTATCTATTCTTTAGGTTTCTTTGGCTCTAAAATTTTCTGATACTGATTACATTTTGGAGGAATGCATCAGGGGTCAGAAACTCAAGTGAGAGTGAGTACATGCTCTAGAGGAAGAGGTCTTTTCCTAGGAAATCTGGGCACGAGGTGACTGGGCTGTTCTACTGTCATCAACTGGCTCTTTCTGATCTGATTGGCTGGGGTTAGGATCAATTCCTTTCTCTCTATTCCATTCAATAGATTCTGAAATTAAGCCCTAGGTCGAGCAGATGCTCTCCGTAGATGGTGAAGGAATGCTGCTAGAAGGAATTCCAGGAGGAATATCTAGGCTATTCCAATTTCTGCATGCCTGTGAACCTACAAAGAAACTCTCAACATTTCTTTAGGCCAAATTTTGCTTAAAGATGCAGTCAGCTATTATTCAAAGGTACACTTTGTAAAGTTAGAAGTTGTGTATGATGGGCCTTCTCACTTAGTAGGCTCATAGGATGATTTTATTAATCTCATAATGAGTTATTCATTTTACAGTGAACAACTCAGCCCATCATTATAAATATGATCACTTTGGAAAAGGAGTTTTATTTCTAGTTTAAATGATAACATTTTACCTTCCTGCTGCCCGTTTGAGCTGACCCTCATTATAATTCTCCTCATGGCTTTAATCAATCCAAATCCACAGACCCTAAGGTTCTGGAAAGCTCTTCAGAGCCTAAGCAAGCCCTTGCAGCACGCATGAAAAAATAAATACAATTATGATCCCTATCATAACATGACTAAAAGCAATATTATGACATTTAGCAAACCAGAAATAATATTCTATATCTTCTTTTTCATTATGAAAAAAATGCTTCCTTCATGGATTCTTTTTTTTTTTTTTAATGCACAGGAAAAAGAAATGAAAAGATAATTTGCAAAGACTTGGGAGTGCAAGAGAGAAATCTTGCCTTAGTTAATGCCATGCATATCAGATTTCTCTGGCTTTTAGGTGGGAAGATCTTCTTAAATGACGAGATTGGATTGATAATGTGGGAGGCAGGTGGAGTCCTTTAAAAGACCATCTATTGTAATTATCATCTTTATTTTTCTTTTATAACAATGTAAAATGAGCAAAGTAATTTAAAAAATTAAATTTTAAATTTAATTTTTAAAATTAAAAATAAAGCAGATGTAGCATGGATGCCAAATTAGTGAAATTTTCATGAGAAACTACATATTTCACAGTTTTCAAAATATCCTCCCCCAGTATTATTAATTATGATGATTAAAAAGAATCATAGAGATCAAAGCAAGTATCACCGATGTTGGGATAAGTTGACACCGTCTGTCTCCTGATGTGATGTCCTGAGGACACAAATCACTTCTGCATAGAAACATCAAAAAAACCCTCAAATTGAGGACTTTCTGCAAAATAAGTAGCCAGTGTTTTTCAAAAGTAAAAGGTCAAAGAAAAGCAGAGGAATGTTTGTGATTACAGAAAGCTGAAAAGACATGACGCCTAAATGTAATGTGTTGAGTCCTGGGTTGAGTCCTGGACTAGGGGGAAATAGAGTAGGTATAAAGATATTATCGGGCAATGGGCAACATTTGAATATGACCTGTAGATTAGGTATTGTCATAATGTCAAACTTGCTGATTTTGATGATTATATGGTGGTCATAAACAAAAATATTCCTTTTCTTAAGAAAGCCCTAAGTATTTAGTGATGAAGGGCAAAGTGTATCAGTGATTCAGAAAAGAAAATGCTCATTATACTCTGTACACACACACAGACACACACAGAGCGGCAACGTCAGGGAAACCTTCCTGGTAAAAGGAACATTTATTTAAACAGTTATCTGAAGAAACTTAGAAGGGTAACTAGATAGAGAGGTTGGTGTTTCAGGTGGAGGAACCAGTTCCAGAAACAGAAAAGTACAAGCAAAGGGGGACAAAGACTGGCAGAAGTTGGGCCTGGAGAAACAGACCAGGTCAGACAGCCTGTTGCGGCTGCTGTGTTGAAAGCAAGGAGGGGACCTGAAGAGTTGTAGGCAGGGAAGTGACACGCTCTGAGTGTGGATGCCAAACTTTATTTTGGCCAGTGTACTTAGGAGGGACTAGAGGGACACAGACCAGGAGCCAGACTCAGCTCCTTCACACTGTGCCCTTTCTCTCCTGCAGATAAAGTATTTCTTCCCAACAGTGAACAGGAAACAAAGGGGCATTGTGTAATCCTTCATCTGAGGTGTGGTTTATTACTGGTTTCAGAAATTCTAGGGTGGGGCCTAAAGCAACTTCCCAAGTTCCTTTCAGTTGTAAAGTCTCTCTTCTAGTTATCAAAATGGCACCTCCTACTAAAAATAAACTTGATGGTCTAATTTTCCATATCACACTCAGCCTCTGGCTTGAAATGGTAATGCTCTCAAGCACCGACCTTATTTATTTTCCTCTGGGCAGAATGTCTTTGAGGTGGTAAGGGACAATTCTAAACAGTAGACTGAGAGCCTAACATACCCTGTCAACTACAGTTTTCTGAAGAGTCTGCTTTCCCTTTTCTAAACTTTTTCTTCACCCTGCTTGGCCCATATTTCCAACTGACTCCAGTTCCTTTCTTTTTCATACAGTTCTTTCTTTTTAATAAACTGAAATAAGCCCCATCATTAGCAAATTCCATTTTCTTTCTTTTTTTTTTTTTTTGAAGCAGAGCCTTAAGCTTTTCCCCTGGGTAGAGTGCTGTGGCATTACAGCTCACAGCAACCTCCAACTCCTGGGCTGAAGCGAGTCTCCTGCCTCAGCCTCCCAAGTAGCTGGGACCACAGGCACCCAACACAACGCCTGGCTATTTTTTGGTTGCAGCCATCATTGTTGTTTGGTGGGCCCAGGTTGGATTTGAACCCACCACCTTAGGTGTATGTGGCCGGCACCTTAGCCACTTGAGCCACAGGCGCCGAGCCAGCAAATTCCATTTTCACAGTGAGGAGGTCAAACAACTAGTTGTTCACTGAATCAACAAATACTTACTGAATCTTTGTTTTTACCAGGTGAGTCAAATGTATACATATATCCCCCTCCACCTGAGCTTGCATTAGAGTAGCTAAGAGATTTTAAACACACAGGCCTAGAAAGAAATATCTATTCACCAACCGGCATAAATTCCACTGTGAAAAGACACATCATAACAGATTTAGTTTAAAGATTTCAATTGATTTTATTTGAGATTTTGGAATTGGGCAATATGTTCAATAAAATAGAATAAGTATTCCAATAAGGGGAGAAAGGAAGAGCAGAAACAAAGACTAAAAAGTGGACGGGTCATTTCTGAGATAGTTTCCTGGTAAGGCCGGAAGAGAGAAATGACAATAGAAAAATAACCGACGGTGAGTATCAACTTACCTCAGGTTGGTTTTTGTTGTCAGGATTAAAGGCAGAGAGAACTTTATCAAGCTGATTGAAACTGGCTTTGGGGAACTTCGCTATTATCTCGCTCTCCCAATTTCTTGGGAGGTCAGATAACAGGTTGGTTTCATCTGGCTGAGGGGGAACTGCAGTTCGACTGATTCCACTTTGATTTTCAATTAAAATAATGCTCCCAAATAATGGCCTCTTATAATTTTTATTTAATATTACAAAGGAGCACAGGGGAGAGCGAGGTCATATTACAGAGACCTTGCTCTTGAAGAGGTGAGGCTGGAGCTGAGATCAAGAGATGAGCCTGGGGTGTCTGGAAGGGTCCTCTGTGCGGTGCCTACCGGGATTCGGGGAAGAAGCTGCCACATTGGCAACTCCTGGGGCCCCGAGCAAAACTGTTGACTTTGGCTTTTAATGAACCATAGGAAGTTTTAAAGCATTCTACCCTGAGGATAAAATGTGCAAATCTAAAAAATATATATATATTTTTCCTATTAGTCACTTAGTTAATGAGCAAGAACCACTTGGGAAGAAATGGTGTGGACCTAGCAGGTCTTCACATTGATCAGCCATTTCATCTTCCCCCAAATGCGGTCATCCTCATATCACCTTCCCAGTTTTTCCCACATCCAAATAGCCTTTCTTTTAGTCCGTGCACTCTATTTTACTTCGAGTCAACTCACTTC